CGTATCTTCTGCGGCGATGATAAAATCCAATGTACCTAATTTTCCCAAGCGAATTAATTTTTTTAAACATAATGTCGTTTTTAATTATTTGTGCATTATAAACAACATTTTCCGTTGCAAGAAATCGTTTGTAAAATAGCACACGCTCGCGTATTCACGTATTTTAACGGTATAGTTGTCAAGGAGAGTAAACCAATTTGAATTTTTGTAGCTGTGAAAATTGTTTTAGCAGTGAAAGTAACTGCCTAACATGGTGAATTACAATGTTGTAGTATATTTTTAACCTTCGAGCGATCGCGCGAGCAGTATAAACGCCGTTTTTGAAAATAAAATGGTACTGCGCCTTGATATTTAAACTCCGCATGACAGGATGAAAGGGAATCTCTAATTACGAGTTCTATTGAGACACAAGATAGCGATAACTATCTTCTCGAAGTCCCACCCACATTTGCGCCAAATTCACGCTAACTGACCAACGTCATCTGTCCTTGCTCTTCACGGCGTAAATACCGCCACGCGATCGCGATTTTTTTGTTTGTTTGTTGGTTGTTTCTTTCTCACACGTGTGATGAATATATAAATATATTTCTCAAATATTTTGGTAATAAAAATGTTATAATAATGCCCTTCTGCAAATTATTGTGTAAATTAAATGAATTTATTACTCATTTCGTGCAGTTGTAAGTGATTTCAATGGGTTTTAGTAATCTAGATTCCTAATACTTACTATTCCCGTTCTATTATAACATATTTAGGTTCCTACACATTATTTCTCCCCCTCTTCACGGTTTTCATCTTATTAGATTTTTAACTTCCTACCTCATTACATTTAATTTAGATTTTTATTACATTCAATGTACGTATTTCTCGTCAGTGTTTTTCAAAATAGAAGACCGATATTGCAGATTTGAAATTTCTTTCTTGGAGAATAATTAAAAATGTTTCATTAAATGTTTAATCTTCCACAATATCTTGCTGATGTTATTTGACAAATTCCCCATATCTGACAATCAAGAGACGCTGCAATATTGAAGAAACGGAAGGATGTTCGTCGGCGGCAAAAATCGCTCGCGATCGAGCATGTGACACTAAATCTCGAGAGCACCGGAAGGTTAAGGGAAGTCATATAACCTTATCTCTCCCATGTTAATTTGGCTGTACATTTGCCCCTGTATCTCAGAAACTGTGTACACTAGTACTGTGAAAATTTAAGATCAGATTGATGAATGTGTTTTAAACAGTTGGTACCATATTAACATATTTTGAAAGATTTTTATAATTTATAGAATATCTTAATTAAAAAACAAAATTTTTACAGTATTTTCTCTATTATTTTATACATAAATCCTAAAGTATGAAACATACTGTAAATGTTTTGCTACCATGTATTTACTAATACTTTATTAATATCCTCCTAAAATTGTAAAATTATTACTTGAGTAGTTTCTAAGATAAAAGGACTAATGTTTTCAGAAATGTCATTTTTCAGAAATCAGCGTTAAAGTAGAAAATATGTAAAATTACTTTTTTTTAAAATTTATTTAAAATTACATCCTCTTACTAAAATCCAGCTACATTACTTGATTCATCTTCTTAACGAAAATGTAAATAGTAATAATTTAGGCATGACCTACATTATTATTTACATTATTTTCAGCAGCAGAAAACGTTTGTTGCGTTGCCAATTTCCTTTGTGAAGAACGTTGAGGTGAATTATTGGTAGTACTACTGCATGGTTGTTGATTGTTAATTACAGGTAAATCAACCTCATCTCCATCATTTTTTGACTCCCACCATATTGATTCTCACGAAGCGAACGTTATTTAAAAACACGTTTACTTCTTGTAATAATTATGTCGAAAGAAGCAAACTTCAACGCACGAGAAATTTAGCGCTGAACTCCATAATCATAAGTAAAGAAAACAAGTTTTCCGCGAAAATGTCGTGGAAGAGAATGCTTTTGCAATGTAAGAAACATTAAAGAATGAACTTTTCTCTACCTTTTAGTAAAAACCATGGCATTCTAAATGAATTCGTTGAAAAGATATGCTGTACATGAGAGTCTCGTAACCAATATGACTGCCATTTTAATATATACAGACGAAGAAACAAAGTAACTGGAAATATATTAAAACAGAAAAATTTTACAACGACGTATACATCATTTTATTCAGAAAACTCTAAATATTTCGAAAATGTTTAAATCTCCAGAGCTATAGAAAACTTATTTTCAACGGTAAACGAACTGGAGATTTTATTTTCCCCATTGCTAACGGAATAGTAACTCGCCCTTACCTCTACTCATACCACTACAAGTAAAAGGAGAGTTCAATAAAACGTGCGCAAAGTGAAGCTACATTTCCGTCCAGAAGCAAAACAAGGGGCCATCTCAGCATTTGCTCAATGGATCATGGAAACTGGACAAAAACCCGATTGAAATGGGAATATTGACCCGGAAGCTGAAATTCATTATTTGTTACAAGCATATTAAGTTGTTTCTTTTTTAAATTATACAATACAAATGTAGACTAATTAATTATATATCATTGTTTTTTAAATTTTTGTAATCATTACTTTAAGTATACAGTATATACTTATCAGTAGTATACTTAAAGGCCAAGACAGCGAAACCGGCATCGTTAGCCGAATTCCTGAACTACGTGAAGTCGCGGAGGTTAAGCGAATACCAGACATCGCGAGTTCGTGGTTGGGAGACAGACTACAAAACCCGTGATCTAACGCTGAGGCCATTTGCCCTTTAGGGGTCATGTAATAGGTAAATACAAGTACAAATAATGTGTGCATAAAAGCGATGTCTAACAAACTTGTCCTTTAACAGAAAATTCCAGTAATTATAATAATTTCTAATGCGTTACGTTTTCGAATTAAGGTGAAGAGACCATTTCTTACAATGGTCCACTACAAACATCCTCGTACATGTATATATTTTGCTAAATACAAAACATTTCGATTACATTTTCAGATATATGTTTCAGTCTGTGTTCAAAGTAGAGATATATTGTTCCAGAGACCTCGCTTATTAGTCTTGGGGTGGAAGTACTCTACGATACAAAACTATATTTTGGAGGTTTTCTATTTTCCATTCAATATATACGTAGTACTTCTATATTGTAACTTTTCTTCTCTTCTTTTTATGCGATGTAATCGTTAGGGTTCAGCTAGTGTATATTAAAACGTGTTTTTATGTACAGAAAACTCACGTGTCCCCCCAACAATGAGCCACCTCCATAACATTTAAGCGATTGACAGTAACGAAATTCACGCCTGATAATACTAACTGAGGCAATTAATATACCGAGAGATATTGTTCAAAACATGCTTTTAATTTTTCTAGAAAATCTCCTTTGATTGTTTAATTCAGCAATTGAGATTATTCACATGCAATGGATATATTATAAGAAGTAATATAGTAGTACATCATTTGTAATGTTTTCAAAGTAATATCGCATAAAAATAATTTATTTCTGGCACGTTTGATATTGCACGTCGCCACTACCGCAGTACTCAAAATTTCCTGTTATTACAGCAGCGATGCTCAATTGTTACTGTCTTTGCGGCAGGAGGCCTTGGCTCGGCGTTCACGGCCGAAAACAATATCTGAGACTGGGTTGACTGGGTTGACTGAGGCAGACAGCAAGGGTTGACTGAGAGGGGCAGCCACAGAAATCAAGGCCCTCACAGGAAGGACACAAAAACAAGCAATATTACATAGAATCAGACTGGGATAATACTTTTATTAAAGATCATCGAAAAAGTAACGCATATTTACACAGTGTTTGAACATGAATGTACAACATCTTTCACCACTAGCCTGAAAACGTACCGGAAGTATTTTCCGTAATAGAACTGAAGGAGTAACGATTAGAAAACAAAATTCCTACATCTCCTGAACGGAAAAATATGTATGTTCTCGCGATCGTCAATTACATTTGTAAATCACACGGACGATTTGTCATAAAACTGAGTTCTCGAATAAAACATTATACTTCACACGGCGTAAGTGACTTTCCATTCCACAACGATATTCCTAGACTCGACCTATCGTCCTCCAGTCCGGGAACTGTCGCGTCTAGTCCTGGAACTTCCACTTCTTGACAATACACTTCTTGCTTTATAATATAAAGAACTATTTCTACTTTTCATCCCTCAAAATTTCAATTCGAGAATTAAAAATAACGATGTGAAATAACCGGTGGCATTTACAAATCAAAAATTAAGGCAATTACTTCCTATGTCCTCAAAACAATATAATGATATAACATCTTCAATAATATCATAATATTATCAAAAAAGAATAGAAAATTTGTTAAAAATTATTTCCAGATATTCTTTGTGAAAAAATAATAATTGTTCCCTTAGTTTGCACTTTTGTTCACATAGGCATTACAAATCGAGATGTAGAACTTTTACTAAGTCCACCTCTCTCTACTTCTCCCAACGTAACGCAATCAGCCAAGTGAGTTATTAATAACTAAATTGTAGATCAATCGCGAATTTCAACCACTAAACTCTGGAACATCGTTATTGTAGTACATGACGAATTACTACAATTAAATTATAGTAATTTCCGCTAGCAACTAATAATTAAATTAGTTATTACTTTTCGGGTTCAACGAATAATCAATTGTAGGAACGGTTAACTAATAACTACTCATGTTAATTATCAATTAGGAAATATAGTTTCAAAATATTAATTAATTAACTAAAATGAAAAATTATTTACATTTTTCCCCACTAAAATCATTACCTCATATCTGTTTTCTCTCTCTTTCTTGGTTGATCTCTTATTATTGTGTCCTCTAGAAAAAGAAGTGTAAAGATGAAAAAGGAAGAAGAAGAAATGTTAAGAAGGAATGGCGAAAGCCGAAAAAGGAAGAATAAGAAAGAAAAAGGACGAAGACAAGGAAAAACCTGAAAGAGGAGAAAGACGAAGAAGACAAGAGGAAGAATGAGAAGAGAAAAAATGGAAAAGGAAGAAAATGAAAGAGATGAAGAATAAGAGCAAGATGAAGAAGAAGAAGAAGAAGAAGAAGAAGAAACCAAGACGAAAAACAGAGTAAGACGAAGAAAAATAAAAAGTGAAAGAACACGAAGGAGGAGGAAAGGAGAAGGTAGAATGAAAGAGATCAAAAGGAGGAAAAAGGTAGAGCAAAAAGAAGAAAAAAGTAGAGGAAAAAAGGAGAAGAAAATAAGAGGAAAAAAGGAGAAGAAAATAAGAGGAAAAGGAACAAAAAAGGAGAGAAAGAGGAAGACGAATAAGAAAAGGAAGAAGTCAAAGAAGGATAAGAAGATGAAAGCAAATATAAAGAATATATTCAATCGCATTTTTATATTAATACTAGTTGTTAATAAAACAGGTTAATAGGCTAATAAAATAGTTTTGTTAAAAGGACTGAATAATATAATTTACATCTCCCACTGCAGACCAATGAGTGCGTCGTGAATATCGAAATAACGCTGTGCTTTCCTTTAGTTTTAATCAGAAAGGAGAGACTGATAGAAATACTACTTCCTTTCTAATAGCGAAATACAAAGAGCATTTCCCAAATTTGATTGCAAGCTTTCATAGGGCGCAAATGATTAAGTTCCGTAGTTCATATTTCCAATACGGTATAAATTATCGCTGTAAGAAAAAGATCTGTGCGACTTTGAAAAGAGAAATGGGAATCCATAAAATCTCCGGATCCACATCATCTACAAAAGTCGCGCCCTTTAAAAACCCTTTTTGGCGATGCGAACATTATTAGTTCTTATCATTATTTTCTCTGTCGAGGATAGTGAACAGAAAATTCAACGTACGGTTTGAAATACCCAATTAATTATTCTATTTTCGCGTTATGTCTACAGTAATGTCGCAGAACAGCGCAATTTTCGCTTTTATAGAGGTGATAAAACGATTAGCAAATTTTAACAGAACTGTATTTGCGATATTAGCTCCGTCAGAGAAGCAAATTAATACAGTAATTTTGATCAACTGAAGATCAAAATTAAATGTAAAGGTAACAGAATTAAATAATGAAATATTAAAACGAGAAAGTAAGTGATATTAAGTCATTAATTAAAAGACATGAAACTACGAACAGTCGGTTGTTAATATATAAAGGGGGAGGGAAAAGACAAATTATAATATTACAAACTTTGAAAGAAATTTCTATTACATTGTGTAGTTATGAAGGCTCCAAATTTTGATTATTTACTACATTTTTATTCATACAGTTGTAGGAAAAGATCTGTTTAGAGAGAAGAAATATGTTTACCATTTTATTAGCTTTTTGTCAAATAATGCGTTTTGCGAGATGTCTGAAAATATAATTATATTCCTTTGAATACTGTTGAATACCTTCACGAATTCATACAGTAACATTCAGAGATAGTGATTTAAAGCAACGATAGGGCGGACATAGATGACTGTGTTCGCGCGCCTTAATATCCTTGAAAACAAGCGAAGAGCAAAAATATATTTTTACAAGTGACTACTTCCATTAATTTATAGCGCAAGCCAATGATATTAAGAGCGCTCTCCAGATTTTACGAGAACTATCCCAGCGCAGTGATTGAAATGGATCGCATCAATGCCGCAGTGTGCAATATGCCATTCTCACTCAGTTTTCTTGAAAATAAATATCATACTCTTTCATGTACTAAATTGGCCTCCAAAATCCACGCAGTTCTATTGCATGCACACAGAAAGTAATTATGTACGGTATTGAAATATAAAACGACAGACTTTTAGTCATTCGATGTTAAGAGAAACCTTCAATCGTCCAAGAAAATCTCCTTGTATCGTATCGCCTTGATATTTTACGAAAATAAAGCTACGGCTGTGAAATATGTGGATTACATTGTGTCGATAATTAGTCATTCTTATCATCTTTACGGTTACCATTCTATCTACAACAATTACCTATAGATTGTTTTTATTCTGTAGGTAAATGTATATAGGTAGGGAGAGGTAAATGTATATATACATTTTGGGGATTTAACGAGAATGCTGTGAGAACAGCTATTTAAATGGCCTTCAGTGAGGTCATAATGCGATTTGTCATTTTCGGTCTACTTCCTTGAAAACAGAAGGAATGTATAAGTAATAAATGTACTCTTCTATTGCGGGCTATGTGTTTTCACTAAATGTTTGTGTGCTTTTGAAAGAACAGCAGGTACGACGTAAACCATATACGCTGAGAGAAGAGTACAACCATAGATGAAAGGAAGAATTCCTACTACACATGAAGGTCTAGGGGCTTGCGACGGTAATCCTCTCGCTATTGCTAAACGTTTTTACATTCAATTTTGGGGACGTGGCAATTATCAGTTACTCTTTACTATGTCTTGTTCGTATTTATCAAAGACTTGAGGTGGAAACAAGATGAGATTCACTTCGACCAAAATCAAGATATTAACATTTACGAATTGGGAAAGAATTGTCGATGTCTTATTACAGCCCAAGCGTTTCAATTAATCATACATAAAAATATAACGGTTTTGTACCATTTATAAACAGCCATCATCACAAAATCTCGTAAACGTGCTATTGCTGGATATAGAATAACTCCTTAGTTCTGGATCAAACAGATTTAAAAGTAAACATTTAGAAATTAGGAGATTCTACGATGAGAAACACCAGGTGCACATGCAACCCGCAAAACACACTCCCCATATGCATAGCACAGAAACTTTTCTCTCCAGACCTTTGAAAGAAATGTTTGGTATAATACGTACGAAATAAAGAGTCTTTTGAACATTTTATGTAATTTTTGGAGTGTACCCCTACCCCAAGGCACGGGTTGTCAAAGTTAGATTTCAATACGAAAAGAAATCACTTTTAAAAAAGTTATTTAAAACTTGCGAGATGTTTGTACGTGTTCAATTAGTCCTCATGTAATGTCTGTTCCTTTTGTTTTTCCGACTCGCCACCAGGGAAGCAAAGGAAGAGATTTAAATGTGCAGTCAAGAATGAAACTCCACCGCCAACAAAAAGCACAAAAGGTGTCTAAAATTAACCAGCTGTGACATAAAATGTAGCAGCCCATTTTCCACCGAAACCTGAGACTCTTCTCTTAGAAATTAAGCTCCAAAGTTCATTCGAACTTCTACCAACTTTAAAATTACCTGTCAACTGCCAGAACAAGGGCGGGGGAGTTATTAAATCTCGGCAATAGTTGAATGATAAGTTGCCAAAATTCTGCGTTTTTCTACAGAAGACAGTTCGGAGAGATTAGTTCTTTCTTTTCTGTTGGTTTTCTTTTACTTCGTGATGATCTGTATCGGTGACGTATGCGAATTATGACTGCAGGAAGAAAAAAAAGGAAGCGAAAGGAATAAAAAAAAGTTAGGGGGAACCGTGTAGGAGATAAAGTTCTGACTCCTACCTTTGACGAAGATCTGCTCGGAACAAACAACAGCACAGTCCCCGGCAGATGTCGTCGCAGTCGAGTCACACGCACCGTCTTCGGTACAGAAAAAAAAATTCAGAATTCCCGCACTTTGCAATCCACGCCAGGCGAACCGACCGACAGAACGCCGGGTAGGGAACTGGTCCCCCGTACGTACATACGGCGCGCCCAGAACACGCGCGCTTCTGGCGGCGGAGAGCGAACTAGATTCTAATTTCCACGTTCGCCGCGATGTGCCACCACCTACGCGGATGCTGTGCACGAGTCTCAGGATTTATCGTCGAGTAACCGAAAACGAAACGATTTAAAACGATTAATTTAAAATAAATAATTAAACCAACGGCAAATTAATTAATATAACCTATTTCTTTTTTAAGAAAATAGTTTCGAGATCCTAGTAATCTGTCAATACTGTGGAAATAGTTTTCGGTACTCGATCCACGTGCCTCTCAGTTTGGACGCCAGCTGCGCTACGTGCTGGCTGCATTCGGTCGAAAATCAAAGACTGCACGGTTCCTTCAAATAAATATAACTAATTAATAAATCATTGTAAATAATGAATGATATAAAACACATTGACAGATATTACGCTAATCATTTTTCGTTCACAAATAAATTTCCCGGTACATCGTGACCTCAACGTTATTTTTGTAAATTTAAGTAAAGGCAATTATTGTTAAAACACATAAAATAAACAATTTTATTTCACACCCATCCCTTTTTTGTTATTTCTTCTGAGTCGTCGTATTCATCGTTTCTTTTGTAGGTGTATATGTAATTCCTTTCTAAGAAGAAGTTCCCAAACAAAGAAAGATGCGATAATCGGGGGGAAGTTCAAAAGCGAAAGTAAATATTAGATAAAACACGATCAATATTATGAAAATTATGTAAAGGGATGGGAGCGTATGACATATGTAGGAAGAAAGCAAATTATACTGAAGAGAGATAATGTAGAAGAAGAAGAAGAAGAAGAAGAAGAAGAAGAAGAAGGAGGAGGAGGAGGAG